CCCCGACCTTCCAGAGTGCTAGAAAGTAGCCCTCCAGACCCATGGGCCTACCTGGGTCGCCCCAAGCCTCGACGGGAATCAAGCTATCGAGGTCCTGGTGTTATTCTTTAGCCCTCCTGGAAGGTCGAGGTCCAGGCCCCCTCGAGTCACAGAGACAAGCAAACTCACGACGGGAGGCGTCGTTTCGTGTTCGGCCTCCGGGGGCCCCAGACATCCCCCGGGCCCCGGGGAGGGGGTCCAGGCCTCTGCGGGGGTCGACGCCGCGACAAACATCACGACGTCGGGTGTCTGGGTTCGGCGGCGAGATCGGGGGGAAAGTGACAGGGGGCGCGGGCCTTCTCAGAAGGCTGGGAGGTCCCTCCATCTTCCTGAGAAGCTTCAAGCCTTCCCCGACGACGGAGAAAACCTCTCAGAAGGCTGGAGGCCTTCTCCCTCTCGTCCCCCCCCTCGCTCTCCGCCGAGGGGCAGCGATAGGGGGGGGACCGGCTCAAGCGGGGAACATCGACCTGAAGTCATCGGATACGTCGCCGGCAGGGCGGCGACGGGCCTCCAACAGTGATACCGCGCGTTCCTGGGCGGGACGGGCGATATGTGGCCCCCATCGGCAATCAGTGGGCGAGGGGGGTCGATGCGTCCCCCCCTGAGCCTACCACCCGGTCGTTGCCCCAGTCGGGTCGGGCGAAAGGGGGGGATAGCAAATTTGGGGGGGGTTGCGAATCAGCTCACGTAGCTGACTTTCCCGGCGCCTCCCGGCGCCGGAGGCGGCCATGTATCGAGGAATGGGCCCCTCGGTGAGGCCGAAACCAGCTGCATGCAGCAGATTTCGTAACCCCCCCTTTCCCAATCCCTCCCTATCGCCCGGCCCGACCCAGGCAGGCCCCCTCGCGGCGTGAGACCCTCAGATCTTGGCGTTGACATCTCTCTCGACCCGCTTCGTCGCCCGGTCTCGGACCGCCACGGATCGATCCGGCTTGGAAAAATGACGCGGAAAGATATGTCGGGAGACTCTCCATGGGATCCCCAGGGGGTCCTATGGGATCCCCCCCCTGGGATCCTATCCCTCCATGGGATCCCCCCCCATGAAGAGTCTCCCGAATATGAGGCCCATGGTTCCGTTCTTTTGCGATCCGGCCAGACAGGGCCAGGATCCGGATCCAGTCTGGGGCACCACCCCCGCGGGTCATGAATCCATGCGGACGACGGGCTGCTTCGGTCGTTTTCGGCCTGCGGGGACCCTCGCCGGGCCGGTCCTTGGGAACGGATCGGGACCTCTTGGGGGTCAACGTCATAAAACTAACCATCACGACGTCGGGGGCCTGGGCAGACCTCCTCACGACGTGAGACGCAGACTGTGCTTCGAGCGACGCACGAGAACGGGGGCCAGGCACCGCACCATGTTTGGACTCCTTTCCGGCCCCGCTCCGACGCAGTATGCGGTGCACAGCAGCTTGGCTCGCAAGGGCCGAGAGACTATGCACTGCACCATTCCTGGGCCGAGGACCGAAGACGCCTCGGGAGGCGCCAACACGCTACGGTGCACTCAAGTCGACCATTGGGTCGGGCATGTCTCCTACAGGCGGAGCTTGGACACGAAGAATAAAAAATACTCAAACGTGCCCAACAATGATCCAGACATGCTAGACAAATCGTTCCCATAAGATTTCTTGTCAGTGTTTGAATCTTCCTCCCGTAGAGGGACAGGCCCGACTGAAGTCTACCGCCGACGATGCCCACCCGAGGGCACGAGGCGGGATCGCCGCGAGTTGGGCCTGCCGTCCGATATATATATCTCTATATATATATATATATATATATATATGCGGGCACCAGCTAATTCAGCGAAGACGCGGGGCTGCGTATCCCCAGGGAGCACACAATGGGGCCCAGCGGCCGAGCTCTCTTCTCGAGAGAGCTGTTCTGGCGATGGCACTGGATAGGAGGAAACCTTCGATGAGGAACCCAGGGTCCGGCAGCCAGTGGAGAGCCCCTCGTGGACTGGCCATGGATACATCCCCGCCGCCCTTAGCACAAAAGGAATCCTCCAGCGCCTGAAGCACACACGTGCGCGTGTATACATGCATGCGCGCATGTACGCACGCACGCATTCCGCTTGCGTGCAGAACTCAAAGGACCAAGGTGCATGGCGCGCAGCGCCAATGCAGTCTTGTGTGTGTGTTTATATATATACGTGTGTACGGTGTGTATATATACATATATATATATGTATATCACCGCCGCCCTTATCACAAAAGGAACCCTCCAGAGCCTGAAGCCTCCTGGGCACGCTCCTGAACCGACGCCCCCACCGCATGTTCTAAGAGCCCGAAGCTGTCGGGCGAGGACGAGGCCCACGGTCGCCGCCGGGGGCGGCGCCGAGGCCGCCCAGGAAGACTCGGGGGGCCGCGTGGAGGCCAGGAGGAGGAGGAGGAGGAGGAGGAGGAGGAGGAGGAGGAGGACGGGGACGAGGAGGAGGAGGAGGAGGAGGAGGAGGAGGAGGCCAGAAGAAGGAGGACGCGCGTCCTCCCTCGCTGGGCCGCCGGACCGTCGAGCAAAACAGCCCAAGACGAGAAGCCCGTCCTGGGGCACGGGGGTCCGGCTCTCTGCGGAGCCACGCGGCGAACAGGAACGCGACGCCCGATGGGCGGAGGAGGAGGAGGGAGGAGGGGGGGGGAGGGAGGGGAAGGAGGGGGGGAGGAGGGGGAGGAGGGGGAGGAGGGGGAGGGGGGAGGAGGGGGAGGAGGAGGAGGAGGAGGAGGAGAGGAGGAGGGAGGAGGGGAGGAGGAGGAGGAGGAGATGAGAAGGAGGAGGGGGAGGAGGAGGAGGAGGAGGAGGAGGAGGAGGAGGAGGAGGAGGAGGAGGTTGTATGTATGTGCTCACCCTGAGCGCAGGCCAGCGCACGAGGCAGCCACGGGGCGTCGACGGTCGGTCACTGGGCTGCAGCTCCTGGGGAGGCCCCTTCGAGTGGGCACGGTCTCGAGGACTCTCGTGCTCGCTGGCCTGGCCAGCGCCGATGCCGAATTCCAACTCCCAAGAGTTTTGACGTACCCACGCCTCCGACGTCGTGATTTTTCCACAGAGCGGGTCCCTGGAGGTCTCGACCCAATCCCCAGAGGCCGAACACGGGAAGAAACCTCCCGTCGCGGCTGGGTTCACGGCGCGAGGGGGGTCTTTGGGGAAGCTACCGATACCGCTGCTCCCCGGACCACCCCCCCGGGGTGCATCCTGACCAGAACCGCGAGGAGAATCCAGCAGTAGCGACGACGGCTGTCCAGGACGAGCGCAGGTATTGGCAGCCCTTCTCCTCCTCTGACCTCGCCAGCGCTCGGACGTCCATTCCCCTGCACGTTTCGACTTTGTGCGTGCATCTCCTTCCCGGCCGAGTCAAGATGCTCCTCGACGGCCCTCGCCGAGAAAAATCATTGATGCACACGTCAGAGCGCTGCCGAGGGACTTCCGGGGAGGGCACCTGGCCTCCCCCGAGGGCTGCACGTGCACGTACGCCAGCACGCCCCCGTCCACTCGGCACCTAGAAGAAGAAAGAACGGCACTAACATGGACTGTTGGCGCTCCGCGCAGACTTCTTGGATCTGCGCCGGACCCGCCTCCCTGGCGCGCGGAGCGCGCGGGGTGGGGGGCGCTGGAGGCGCCGCTGGGGGGGGGGGGAGGCCCAGCGCGGATCCAAGAAATCCGCGCGGAGCGCCACAATCTATGTTTATGCCGCTTTGTCTTCTTCTGGGGGAATCAACAGGTACCGATACCGCTACTCCCTGAACCTCTCCCGGGGTGCGTCCTGACTCGGATTGCGAGGCGAATCCGGCGCCGGCGACGAGGGCTCCCCAGGAGGCCCGAAAAGGGGAAAACGGGCGAAGGGCGGTATCTGGCCATAGCTCGGACGGCCATTTCCTGTGTTTTTCTCGGTTTCGTGCGTGGTTTTTTCGCCAAATGATCCAGGATGCTCCTCGATGATCCTCGCCGAAGGAAACATGCACACGTCCGAGCGGCGCCGAGGGTATGGGTACCTTTTCCTCCTCTGATCTTCGAGCACCGCAGCCCGGCCAAGTCCGCACCGAGCGCGCCCTCGTCGGGCTCGCAGGGCCCGCCGAGGGGGCCGGCGCCCTCCGGCTGCCGGGAGCGGTGCAGCACGCGGTGCAGCAGCTGCAGCGTGCGCCGCGGCAGCGTGCCCTCCTGGCGGGGAGGCCCAGACTTCGGTCGGGCATGCCCCCCTCCAGGGAGATTTTGCACGAGGAAATAAAAAAATAGAATTCAGCAATGGCTCAAAAATGCTAAAAACAAATCCATATCATGTTCTAGAGACGATTTGACTATGTTTGAATTGTCCTCCGATAGAGAGACAGGCCCGACTTCAGGCCAGTCCACAAAAAACCTTGCACAAGAAACCCAACCCTGAGACCCCAGGAGGTCCATTTCTTCTTGGTGCGGGAGCGTCACGCCTTCCACAGCAGAACCATCGAAACCCAAGAGAATCCCAGGGCACCCTGGAGGAAAGCAAGGTGTTTCTTGGCTTGGGCCTCCACTGTATCAATCCGCCTCCGTGCCCTTGAGGCACGAGTTGGAGCGTCCTCGGGTCCCGTGTTCGATCCCCTGGAGCATCAGCCCGCGATACTGGGGGTTCCTCGACTCTTCCACTGCTCGGTGCGATTCCCCTGGGTCGCGTCGCGGCTTGCGGCGTGACATGTTTGAGCCCGACAAGGCCTCCTCAAGACGGGCCCGGGGGTCCCAAGAGGCCGCCCAAACGGTCCAAGAGGGTTTCGAATCGCCACATGATCGATCCAAGACGCCCAAGACAGCCCCAAGACGGCCAAAGAAGCAGTCGAGACGCCCCAAGAGTTTGCCCAAGAGGGCCCCGAGAGGCCAAAATCTTCAAGTGTCTTAAATGTTTTACATGTTTGGGGGGCCCTCGGCCTTTCCAGCTTCCGACGTTCCACGAGGGCCCAAGGAGGCCTCAGGACCGCCCCAAGACGGCCCAAGAGGTCCCCAAGACAGCCCCCAAAGCGCCCAGGACGGATCAAGAGGGTCCAAAGACAGCTTCAAGAAGGCACCAAGAGGGGGAACACACATGGAAAATCCAAGTCTTCCGCTCCAAAAGGGCCCCAAGAAACCCCAAGAGGCGTCCAAGACGCCTCCAGAGGCCCCCAAACGGCTCCCAAGAGGCCTCCAAACGGCCCCCGAGAGGCCTCCCACGACATCCCAACGAACATCCTAGAGGCCTATGGCCCACAACCCAAACACAATGGCGGAATAGGCCGAAGACCATTCGACCTGGGCCGGCACGGAAACGGAAAGAGCACTGCAGCAACCTGCCCGAAATGGCTCATGGCACCCTTCGCTCTTGGGAGCCTTGGTGGTAAGAGCTGGTTGCGTCACCGCTCGTTATTGGGAGCCTTGGTGTTCCGAGACTTGTACGTTGCCGCTCGCTCGTGGGAACCTTGGTGTTGAGAGTTGTGTACGTCACCGTTCGTTCTTGGGAGCCTTGGTGTGCACGAGTCTGTCACGTCACCGTTCGCTCGTGGGAGCCTTGGTGGGAAGAGCGTGTTACGTCACCACTCTCTGTTGGGAGCCCTGGTGTTCAGAGATGTTTACGGTACAAGAGGATGGTGATGCAGCTTAATTGGTGTTCGACTGTCCTGGGAGGAGATATTTATGAATACGCGGAAGTACCTGCTTCCAATGCTGTACAACAGGAGCATCATTGTATGACGCTGATGAGAGATATGATGGAGAAATACAACATGTGTCGTGACTCGAGGGACCCCCTGAAGGCCCACCAGCACCAGGTTGAGTATATGAAGATGGGTCTCGCTGTGGACTTGAATTTCATGATCGTATGGCGTGCTAACATCTACAGAGGCGACCAGGACACCCTTCATGGGCGAGCTTTGAGGACTCGCATTGATTATCTTGGCGGTCCGCAGGCATGTTTGACGACTCTAATGGATTTGTGTATTTCGAACAAGCGAGGTCGACAACCCCAAGTGCGCGCCAGATATATTATTGTTTATTTTGGGGGTGGACTTACGCCCCGTATTCATTGGAACCATGATACCTTTGTTCGAAGTGTGGTTGATGGGCTTTGGTGTGAACGATCTCTTAAAGGAGCGGAGGATTACTGCAGCCAGTCTATCTCGCGATGGAAACCGCATGAAGTATTGGTCACACCTGAGTTGAGCAATGCACTGACGGTTGCCAACCAATGCCCCTGGTGTATGAGTGTATTATTGGACAGACCCTTTGCGCGTCTTTTTCGTATCCATTGTTGTCAAGCTGATAGAGAGCATTATAAATATGAAATCATTGAACCAGAGTATTTGCACTATCCTGCTTGCGGTCAAGATCATCACAGCCTGGAGGCTCTGCAGGTTCACATCAGATTTCACGTGCAGCTCGATCACTCTGCCCTCTTCACCTTCGAGGCACCGAGCGATGTCGGCGCGGGTTGCGCACTTCTCTTCGGTATTGTGTACAATGGCACGTCCCCCGTGCAGAGTGGCAGAGAAGTGGAAACCTCTAAAGCATATCAGACTCAAGATTTTGTCTTTCTTACGAGTATTTGGCTACGACGGTGTCACAAAGATGGGTAGTGTATGAGCATCTTCGTCACGCATGCGCATATTCTGGATTGGGGATATGGAAGGGGGCCTCGACTACGACGATGGCTCTTGCGTCTCTGCCATATTGCACAGATTCACGCAACGCCCGCAGGCCTACAAGGACGAGTAGGAGCGATGGAAATAAGTTCAGGCCGCTTTCATTTGCTGTGGTTTGTTGCCTATCTCACAGTGCGGCTGCAGGCAGCAAAGAAAACACTCACGGATAAGAAGATGGTGATGCAGATGCTAGTATGGATGGAACAAGTCGCAGGGTTTCAACCCAATTGGTGTTCGATTGTCTGCGGTGGGGATACTAATGGCTATGTGGGAGTACCTGCACCCAATGTTGTGCAGCAGGAGCATCACTGTATGAAGCAGATGAGAGATTTTATGGAGAAGCTCAACATGTGTCGTGCTAACACCTTTATGGGCGGCCAAGACACCTTTCACGGGCGAGCGCTGAGGTCTCGCATTAATTATCTTGTCAGTCTGCGAGCATGTATGACAATATCAATGGATTCATGCATTTTGAACAAGCGAGGGCGACAACTTCAAGTGTGCACTAGATATATTCGTGATGGTTCTTGGGGAGGACGTACTCCCCGTAGTCAGTGGAACCCTGATACCTTTGTTCGAGGTATGGTTGATGGGCTCTGGTGGGAACGATTTCTTAAAGAAGCTGAGGATTACTGGTGCCAGTCTCTTTTGCGATGGAAACATTATGAAGCATTGATTACACCCGACGAGAAGTGGCAGCATTGGGTGAATGAAGTTCAACATATGACCCATGGTTATTTCGAAAAATACTCAGAGGAAAACCAGAACTATCGACTGGATTGGCAACAACAGTGCGACATGGTGAGACAATGGGCTATTTTGCGTAAAAATATGA